GGCAGAGACTACAGAGTCCCCATTCTTATCCCCATGCTGCCTCCATAGTTTAAATTGTAATAGTTTTAAAATCGAATCATTAGGAATAGAAATGGGAGAAACACAGTAAGCAACTATTAAATACTGCCCATAGAAGTAAAGATGAAGAAGGAGAGTGTCATGGAATAAGCATGCAGATGAGATAGGATGCAAAGGAAGCTGAGGAAGAAGAAGAGAGAGGAGAAGAAATATCAGAGAGGGAGGAGGATAACTTGGAGAGTGCCACAGCAGTAATCCAGGGAATGGATCACACCACTGTAGTGTGCTCAACAGAGGTCAGAATTCAGAAAAGGCCTTGGCTTTGGCCATTAGGAAGTTATTAGTCACATTCCAAGGAAGCTTTTGGAAGGAGAGTAGAAGCAGAAGCCAGATTGCATTGAATAACTTTTGAGTAACCATTTGGCTATACATTGTTAAATCTATTAATATAGTGGCCCATCAGGCAAAACAAATGTGGTAAGTGGGCTGTATGAGAAGAAATCAGAGAGAGGAGGTCTGTTGGCAGACTGGAGATCAGTTTTGCCTGATCTTTTGATTTTCCACAAGAAGCTGAAAGTGCAGAAACGTTTGGGTGATATTTTCCGAGTTCTAGATGTTAGTTATGTACAAAAACAGAACAAAATAAAAAACAAAACAAACAAATAAAACCTCAGTCGAGGGCTAGCCATAACACATCTGAGGGCTGAATTGGTCCTACCAGCAGCAAGCTTATGGAATCCTCTTTTTAGAAGTTTAGAAGTGAAATGAGGAAGCATCTCAAAGAAGCAAAAAGGTCAAAGAATGTTTAAGATCATGTTTGAGGCATGTATGTGTGTGTGTATGTGTCAAGGATTGTTTGTTTTTGTTTTCTTGGAGTGGGTAAATATAAACTCACTAATGAGGATTCAATGTATAAATAGAGAGAGACCCAAAATATCAAAGAGAGGAGATGCCTGGAAAAGGAAGGTGCTTGTGGGAGTGGGAGGAATCTGATTAAGGGGCCAGTTTGCAAATTGAACATCCCTACTATGAGAATCTAAAATCCGAAGTGTTCCAAAATCTGAAACCTTTTGAGCACAGACATGACACTCAGTGAAAATGTTCACCGGAGCATTTCAGATTTTGGATTTTTGGATTTGGGATGTTCAATCAGTGTGACACAAATATTCCAAAATCTGAAAAAATCCAAAATCTTAAGTGCTTCTGGTCTCAAGCATTTCAGATAAAGGATGCTCAACCTCTGTTAGAAATATGAGAAGGTGCAAACAGATGGAGTGATGGGAAAGCGAAAAGGCAGAAGTGAAGAGAAACTTCCTCCTTCTTTACACATGTGGTTAGAGGATATTTTGCATGTCTTGAGAGGGGCTCGGTTGGAGCCTGGGAGCTAGAGAAGAACCTGGACACATTTTGTGATGGCTGCTTTGGGGAGGTAGTGGCTAGAGTGTGGGGCACTTAGAACTGTCAAGTAACGGTGAGGACCCAGTTGACTTTCAGTTCATGAGTATCTACTTATGTGACACCACTAAGTGCAGAAGATACAGAATAGATAAAACTCAGATAACTGCCTGTATGAGTTTACGGTCTCACTTACATTCTGTAGCTCTAACCTGAGCTGATGAGCAAGTTTTCCACATTTCATTAATTCGCTTGCTACCATAGTCACTTTGTTGTACCTGTAAGTTACCCCTACTATTTGCTCAGTAATTTTCTTGAAATTACCTCTTATTTTACATATAAAGATAGAAAAAAGGAAGCTATATATCATTACTTACACTTTTATATTGTATTCGTCCAAACAATGCATTCTTAAAAGTCGTTTTAAAATACAAAACTGTTTGACATTTTGTCAAAGGTTCTTTTCCATTTCATCTAAAATAATCTTGTGTACCATTAGTAGAACATATACCATGCCTTAGGAACGATGAAACTGGTTGGTTGGTAGGGTTCTTTTTTTTTTGTTTCTTTGTTTGTTTTTCTGAGATGAGTTTTGCTCTTGTCACCCAGGCTGGAGTGCAATGGCGCAATCTCGACTCATAGCAACCTGTACCTCCAGGGTTCAAGCAATTCTTCTGCTACCACGCCCAGCTAATTTTTATATTTTTAGTAGAGATGGGGTTTCACCACGTTGACCAGGCTGATTTCAAACTCCTGACCTCAGGTGATCTGCCTGTCTCGACCTCCCAAAGTGCTGGGATTACAGGTATGAGCCACCATGCCCGGCCAGTAGAGTTCTTTGGGTCATTCAGAGCAAGAATTTTTTTTTTTTTCATGTTAGAGTATATATATGGCCTTGTTTTTTTTTTTTTGTACAAGCAGGTCAGCTTAGCTGGCATGATGTGAATAAAATGGAAAAAGGCAGGCACCTCTTTGCCTGACAATTTTAAAGTGTTGCTATTTGAATACCAAGAAGTTTGAAGCTGGACTGCAGAGCCTTCCAAATTAATCTAGTCTGGAAAAAAAAAAACAAAAGAAAACCCACGAAAATGCCATCAAGTAACAGGAGATTTGTCAGCTGCCCTGTTTACACTTTTCATATAAAACATAAAGGTTAGCAGATTATAGACGAAAGGTCAGTTCAGCAAAAAAGAAAATATGTCAGACAATCTCATAACATCGGTAACAGAGGATGGAAGTTGGAAGCTACTATTGGATTCTCAGAAAGAGATGAGTTTGTTGGTGATGTGTAAATATCATCACCTTTTCTGTGGCTCTTCATTTTGGTGGCTACCTTTTTATACTGAGTCTCCAAAATTTGATTTAAAAGACACCAAAGATACTTGTCTTCCTGAGAAAGATTTACTTTGCAGCAGCTTTACTTAAAAAGAAAAAAAAAAAAAAAAGAAAGAAAGAAACTCAGTCTGAAGGGGGAAAATATACTTCCTTTGCCATAGTGGCTAGTCTCACCCATGCTGTCCCTGAACCCAAGCCCTAAAACGAGGATAAATTGAGAAACCCAGGCTTCCTCAGGAGCGGCGGCACATAATTAAAGGGTTTACAGTGAGTCCATCATTGTGAATGATTAAAGGGGAACTGGGCAACTACAGTGTGATTTGTACAGGTAAAATCTTTTGCTCCAAGAATCACACAGTAAGGACCTGCCTTGGAAGGGGAAAACATCTTAGCCTGTTCCAGCTTTGGGAGCACAGGTGATTTGGGGTGGGGAGCAGTATTAGGCTCATAGGGTCACAGAGCCATGATATTAGAGTTATAGGGCCTCTCACAAATGTCCAGCATGTGCAGTACTGGGAATTTGTGGCCCTATTAACACATCTTTCATCTTCACTTGAAGTTCAGGAATTGTGCAAAATACCACCATTCTATCCAAGCAACATGCTATGTACATCATACTCTTAATTACCAAAATGTGCATTTGAGGGAGGCTTCCTATTCTTTTCTGAATTCTTCATCATAACCTTGCAAATAACTGAGGCCAAAGACATGACATACAGCACTGTGGGCTAGTAGTCAAAAATAACCATTGCTACTTGGCCTCAGCGTTTCTGGTTTCTTCTCTCTGCAGTGTTGTTTTCTATCAGACTGCTTTCATCTCTGTCTTAAGCCTCCCCATTATTGCCCAAGCTATATAAGCAATTTTATTATTGTCAGAAATCTAACAATTAATAGCTAAAGAAGAGGCAGTAATTTTACAAATCATGATCTGACAGTCTTGAAAACTGCTTCAATATTAGCAAATATGTTTGTGATGTGCTGCTGAGACTGTGTGGACTTCACAATGTAATCTTTACAGCTTGAATTGCTGAAATCCAAGTGGACTGACGACAGAACTTGCTCCCATCACCTCCCCCACAAAATTCTCTTCCCCACTAAGCTTCCTTAATGAAATCATTGAGACTCTGGCTTGCTGGTAAGGACCAGTTCTTACAACAAGTGTATCCAATTTCCTGCTAGTGGTAACTTTAATTCTTCCTGGAATAGCAGGAAACATTAATTTTGCATCAGATCCATAGGTCTCAGAAAGCTGGAATTATAGGTGCCATTGTCCCACTCTTTTTTTCCTCCAAAATAAAATAAGCAGCAGATGAACAGTGAGGCTTGAGGGATGGGTAGTGACAGCGTAAAGAAAAGAACATTAATTTCAGGTGGGGACAGCTGCCCAGCACTCTCTCCCTTTGGATTTTGGTTCTTATAGCATCACGGTGAGTTATTAATATGTATGACCCGTACTTTATTCAAACATTATAAATCTATGCAGAAGTCTGGTGTTTGGGTTTTCCTTTATAGCTTTCATTCTTCTTCCCAGAATTATCTCATTTTGATCGGGAAACTTTTGCATAAAAAGCACACACCGAGAACTCACATTTCCATACCATAAATATTAAAAGTGGGTTAAGCTTTACAGTTTCTTCTCCCATCCCAATGGGAGGAAAGTTAGCCTTCTAATCAGGGGGCCCTTCCTAATGTTCTTTTTATTCACAACCCAAAAGGTAAACTTAAAATTAGAGTTGAAATATGAAATTGTACTATGTGGTTCCTTTCTTGTATGTCAATTATGGAATGTTTGACTATGCCATGTCTTTTGTCTGAAGGATATACTAAAAATCTAGTAGTTATCTGAGTTGTTAAGAATAGTTGGTTAGATTATGTTTTGAGAACCAAACTAGGTCCAGACCTTCTCTTAAGGATCGTGATTAATATGCTTTTTACTGGATAAATATAAAGTATGGATTCACTACCCTGTGGATTCATCACAATGAATACGTAGCATACAGAAGAGGGAAATGGAACTAGAAAATTTAATGTCTTTTTAGCAACGTTTTAGCTACTTAGCAGCTTCCTATCTCCTGTTATTGTCATTTTTGTTAGCATAAAGGACTAATCATAAATTCCAGTTCACATGGAAATGTAAAGGAATGTGTGCGCTATTTCATTTGGGTGAGCTGTCTGCTAATCACATAGTCTCGGCTGTTGTACTTTTGATGGGAAATGAACGTGCTAATTGGTGCTCTTTTTTCTTATTTCAGGAAACCTGCCATATGAATATAAAATAGTGATTGCTGGGAATCATGAACTGACATTTGATAAGGAATTCATGGCAGACCTTGTTAAACAGGACTACTACCGTTTCCCCTCTGTGTCCAAATTGAAACCAGAGGACTTTGACAATGTTCAGTCCCTCCTGACAAACAGTATTTACTTACAAGATTCGGAGGTAACAGTGAAGGGATTCAGGATATACGGTGCACCTTGGTAAGTGATGATTCAAACAGTTTTCCACATTGCTTTTTAGCTCAGTACCGAAAAATCATGGCTCAGACTTAGATGCTTTAAATGAAAATGATTAGGATGGAAGGAAACCTTATTGCTGTATTTCCAACAAAATACATTCTGTACTGCTACAAAATGCAACACTTGTTTTCATTGTGATAGAGATCCCTTTGGGTAAGATCAATGGGAGTTAAGGCTTTCCTAGATATATACAGTCATCCCTCCCTCAGTATCCATTGGGAATTGGCCCAGGACCTCCCGCTGATAACAAAATTCCAGTATGCTCAAGTCTTTTATATAAAATGGTGTAGTATTTGCATGTAACCTATGCACATCCTCGTGTATACTTTAAATCGTCTCTAGATTGCTTATATTACCTAATACAATGTAAATATGGTATAAATCATTGTTAATACTTCATGGTTTAAGGAACAATGACAGAAAAAATATCTAGCATAGATGCAATCCTTTTTCCAATATTTTCTTTCTTTTTTTCGAGATGGAGTATCTCTCTGTCAGTGAGGCTGGAATGCAGTGGTGTGATTTCAGCTCACTGCAACCTCTGCCTCCCGGGTTCAAGTGATTCTCCTGCCTCAGCCTCCGAAGTAGCTGGGATTACAGGCACACGCCACTGCACCCGGCTAATTTTTATGTTTTTAGTAGAGACAGGGTTTCACCATGTTGGCCAGCCTGGTCTTGAACTCCTGACCTCAGGTGATTGGCTCGCCTCAGCCTCCCAAAGTGCTGGGATTACAGGCATAAGCCACCACTCCCGGCCCTTTTTCTAATATTTTCTATCCTTGGTTGGTTAAGTCCCTGGATGTGGAACCGCTGATTATGGAGGGCTGGCTGTATATGTTTATGCTACTGGGGCTGGGTGTATGTCTGTGTAACACAAAAGGATTTGAGAGGAGGTCGCCATGCTACCCTTCACACAGACTCAGCTACTCTGAACATTCCATCAGCTTTAGGTAACTCATTTCCCTCTCATTTTGTACTGGAAGCAGTCATAAAATATCCTGCTTAGATTAGGGTTTCTCAAATCTCTCTACACGTCAGAATTACCGTCTCTGTAGAAATATAGATTTTGAAGCCCTACCTACAGAGACTCTGATTGTCCTTCCTGAGATGAAGCTCAGCAGTTTCTATTTTTTAAAGTTCCGTGGGCAAGACTGATGCACAGGTGGTTTGAAAGTTACTGGTTGAGAAATGGCGCTAGAATTCTCAGAACTAAGCTCTGGAAAACTTGAAACAGGTACATATCCTTGGAAGCCAGACAAGAAGCATGTCAATCTTGACTCTATCAGTTGACAGTTGTCAGGTTTTAAAGGAGTTACTTCACAGTGTCTGAGCCTCAGTTTTCATATCTCTAAGATGGTGAAGATGATATCTATTTTAGAGGGTTATGGTGAGGATAAAATAGGTAAAGCTTGCAGTGGACTTTAGAGAATATCGGATAGTTTGCTTAGGATATCAATTATAATTTTTCTGGCCTTAGGCTCTCCCACTAAGTATTTATGTCAACTTAGGCAAGTCATTTAGGCCCTAGAGCAAGTTTTTTTTTTAAATCTTTAAAGTGAGAATGTTAGACTAAATGATTGTCAATCATTTAGGTTCTAGGACTTTTTTTTTTTTTGAGGATGTATGTAGAGCAAAACTAACCTGTGTGTGTGTATATAGAGCAGAAGAACTCACCTTTACTCACTCAATACAGAAAGTACCCCAGTCCTTCACTAGGAGTTGTGGATACGACTGGAAACAGACAAGCAGACTGAATTCAGATTGGCCACTTTACTTGACAGTTTGGCTTGTCCTCTGTAAGTTAAAAGGTTGAGATATTTTCTATAATTTTTTTTCTAGCTATACGAGTTGGTATCCAGAAGGACTGATGAATGGGTACAGGAAGTACATCTCTGTTTAAAATCAACCCTGACAATGATTTTGAACTCTTAATTAAGTACTTCCTATATGCCAGGCATTGTCCTACGTTTTTTGTATATGTGTTGTCTCATTTAATCCTCAAAATACCTTTAGGAGATGGGCACTATTCTGATTCTCATTTGGCAGATAAGAAAATCCAGATGCAGAAAAGTTAAGTAATTGCTCAAGAATCGCCACAGATAATAAGAGGTATGATTTGAACCTGGCGAGTCTGATTCCAGGGTATACAGCATGACTGAGGGATGGCGGGGGTGGGGATGTGGTAATTGGTGTTTATAATCTGCAGATCCAGTTTATACCTAGCTTTAGTAAGGTACGTCAATTTATTTTTTTAATGTGTGAGAACGTGGTAAAGGGCAAGAGAATAAACAGCAGAAATCAGTGCTGTCAAACTGTAATCTGGGGTTGTGTAGGATATTGATATTAGCATTTCTGGGTAAAGGGCAGGAGAGAGAGCATTTCCAGCTTCACAGCCCAGTTCTTAATGTCAGTGAAGTAGTTGAGGAATGACCTCTGATTGGCGGAGATGCTCTACATGCAAGTTAAGATCATTGTTTAAAAATAATTTAAGATTACTTTTGAAAAATCCTTAAAAGCTACAGGACATTTAAGGCTATTCCTGAGCAAGCAGGATGTTCAGAGGTCCCTGGATTGATAGTTGCTGAAATGATGACAGCAACAAACTTCCTCCATTATCTGAGCTGATTCAAATCTGTTTAGGACAGGGTTCAGCTAAACCAGATTATAGCTGTGATGAATGAGGGAATGATTTTGGTCCTCAGGCAGATCTTGCAGCATCTCAAGAAATTGAACAAACTGACTAATTCAGATATGTGATGTGACAGGGCATGATCTGTTTTTGGTGGTGGTGCAAACTGCAGACAAAGTTTATATCTGAACTGGATTGATATCGTTTAAAATGTTTTAATTTTAATACTGGCAAGGGTAGAAAAGTCAAGAAAATAAGCACTAATCAGTCTTCTGAAATGTTCTCCTAAAGTTGTCATTAGACTTAATATCTGTTGAGATTTCCACAAAGCTTCAACCATTTCCTATTGAGCATCTCTTTACAATAAGGGAGATCTTTAAATGGTTTTTGCCCCATCCATTGGAATTGTTGATACTTTGTATTTTGACCAAGAATACAGAGGTTGACAAAAAGGATATTTCAGTTTCATCATCTGTTTTTGGGAGGCCTCAGTAGTTTGGATCTCACTGTGAAGATATTTCGTCAAAATTAACATTCCCAGAACTACTGATAATCCAAACATTGATTTAGAAATGTCTGCATTAGCATTTCTGTGCTAGGGAGGAGAGTATTTGCCATCTCTATCACTTATTCAGTGGGACTTCGGGTGAGTTTCTTAACATCTGCCTGCCTCTGTTTCTTCTTTAAAATGGGATAAAACATTATGGTTTCATGGTTGTTATGAAGATAGAATTAATGCATCCACAGCACACAGAAGACTTTTTAGCATGGAGTAAGCAGTTGATAAGTGTTAGCTATTACTACTAATAGTGGTGTGTTAGTGTTTCCAAACTATACCTCTGTCAGCCTTCATAAGGAGTGAGATTGGATAAGTTTTAGCCCTATTATTTAGTCAACCCTACTCACTGGGTGACACTAGGCAAGTCACTTAACTTTTTCATTTAGTTGTAAAACATGAGGAATGAGGTCTTCTCTAGTTTCTTTCATATGCCACCCACTAAATGGTCATCAAAGTAAGAATTTTCAAAAAAATACATATTTGCGAGCATGCTTGAATTATTTCAATGTCTTGTACAATTTTTAACATCTTTTACTATTAAGAATTTGCCCGGTGGCTCACGCCTGTAATCCCAGGCACTTTGGGAGGCTGAGGTGGGCGGATCACGAATTCAGGAGATCTAGACCATCCTGGCTAACATGGTGAAACCCCATCTCTACTGAAAAAATAGAAAAAATTAGTCGGGCATGGTGGCGTGCACCTGTAGTCCCAGCTACTCGGGAGGCTGAGGCAGGAGAATGGCGTGAACCCAGGAGGCAGAACTTGCAGTGAGCCGAGGTCGCGCCACTGCACTCCAGCCTGGGAGTTCACACCTGTAATCCCAGCACTTTGGGAGGCCGAGGCGGGCAGATCAGGAGGTCAGGAGATCGAGACTATCCTGGCTAACACGGTGTAACTCCGTCTTTGCTAAAAATACAAAAAATTAGCCAGGCGTGGTAACGGGCGCCTGTAGTCCCAGCTACTTGGGAGGCTGAGGCAGGAGAATGGCATGAACCTGGGAGGTGGAGCTTGCAGTGCGCTGAGATCGGGCCACTGCACTCCAGCATGGGGGACAAAACGAGACTCCATCTCAACAAAAAAAAAAAAAAAAGAATTTGCCTCAAAGCAATGTTTGGGAGAACTTATACCATAGGTACTTACCCACTTTTCTCCCTTCAGAAATTAAATTTTTTCCATCTCTGGGATTTACACATGGATGAGTCCCTGCTTAGTAACCCAGCAGATATTTCAATCGAAAATAATGTAAATTGATGGTCTGATTTCCCTGTTTTTACAGTGACTTTTTTGGAGGAAATATTAAGTTCTGCATTGCTGATACCACTAGTGGTTTCAAAAATAGAAATCAAAATAAGAATCCTGACATTAAGGATTCACAGGTTTCTCAAAAGTAATTGCCATCAGACTAGGAAAATAGCTATAATTCGTGTATTTAGAAAAATATGGATTGTGACCTGGTCTAGCTACAGAAAAAGAATATTAGTCTGTATTCGTTACACGTTCATAACTTGCAACACAGCTGAAAGCTACCTCAAGACTAGAGAGAATTAAAGTAGTGTTTTCTAATTTACAGTTTAACAGGAACTGGTACATAGAAAATAACTTACAACACACCAGAGCATTCATATATGTCTGCAACCGTAATGTTCTGTAGTGCTTACTAGATCCCCAAGGAAGAGGCTTTGAATGTGGTTTGATGGGTCTGGGAAAATTCAGTGGCCTAAACTGAAGATGTTGTAAGTGGGATGCCAGATCTGAAAGGAAAGGGGCTCCCTCAGATGGGAGGGCAAGAGTCGATGGATTCTCTGGGGGCACCCTTACCTCAGGAGGCCTTAAGGCAGGTTTTATGGCATCTGTATATATTCCTTCACCATCTCATTCTTCTAAGAATCTGGAAAAAAGGCATCAGTCATCTTTTTAACAGTTCAGCCACAGATTTGCTTCACTTCTGCTATTGTCGTTATTTTCCCATTCTTTTTGGGAGTGCAGGAGAAGAAGGTTTTGTGTTGTCAGGCAAGTGGGTCAGCCTCATACTTACTTCGTACTATGGGAGGGCTTGTGGATTGCTTGCATACGTAAAATTGATTCTCTGCCACCAGTGGTGCCCAATTTTGTCTTTGTGACTCACTCTCAGCACTGTAACATCTTTCCCAAAGGCTGAGTGTGGTTAGAAAGGGGACAAAATTCTTAAATATTAGCCACTGTGGTAACTAATGGCATGTCTGGCCAGAGTAGAGGGAAGGTAGAATTTTGAAATCATTTTTGTATTTTTGATTACTGAATCTGCAGCCAGCTTTTTAACACAAGCAGTTTGGGGTAAACTCGCTCGTGGGACTTAGTTTTGATATTAAGATGCTGTGCAGGGAAAAAAAAAAATCCACATACTAATTGATCAGCAGCCAAGCTGCAGAAAGTGAAAGGTGTATATTGTGCCGACTGAAGCAGAGCAGTTGTATTGTTCAGCGAAAGCCCGCACGTTGTTCTTCTCTTGAACAGAAATACAGAGCTGGTCTCCCGTGGCTTTTAATGAATATGAGTGGGGCTTTCCGATGTCCAGGAATTTGATCTCTAGGCTGACCAAGGGGTCAGCAACAAAGAGCACATTTTTTCACGTTAGAGTGGACCCAGGTGTAATTTGTCAGATTTAGTAACTGTGGAGGAAGTGCCTTAACTTCTCCAGCAGGAAAATTAGATCAGGCCTAGGCAGTGCAATTCTAAAATGGCTGAAATAGGAAGAGAAAGTCCGTTGAGTCGCTTTTTCAAAGGAAGTGTGAGCAGGATTTGTTTTCCCTTCCTCTCTTCCCCTCATTTCCTATCATAACCATGTTGAATTCATTCATTCATTTAGATGTAATTTTCTCAGCATTTTTCAAAGTGGGAGTTGAGTGTTGATTTCACTCTCTGCAGCATTTCTAATTGTGTTTGCACACAAATAGCTACAAGGTTGCTCACATTTCCCTTGTTCTGATCAGTGCAATAGTAGTACTTTATGTTTACTCTGTCAGAAAAGTGTCAGATGTTTTTATTTCCAATTATAAGTTTTGTAATGCATCATGTATTTTGCTGACAGTCTTCAAGTTCTTGAAATAGCAAACAAATTAACAGCAGATATTGAATGAGAGGATTAGAAAACCAATTGGCAACTCACATGATAGAATTCAGATACAGGGATGGGTGGAATGGGCTCATTTATTTTATTTTCTCAGTCATACTTTGTAATTAACTCGGGCAAAAAAAAAATCCTTTGGCACTAAAGAATGAGACTATGCAAACAATATTGGTTCTGTACCATGTTTCAGGGATTTCAGCTTTTATTCAGGAGGGTTCAGAAAGGTATTGGCAGAGAAAAAGGTCTTGTGTGTGTGTGTGTTAAACAAATATGCACTCTGCTCTTACATGATTCTGTTTAAAGGCCCAGGGTAACATTTCATTTTTCTTGGCACAGGGCCCATAGACTCTCCCATTATGAAACCTATGGCTGTTCTGCCCTAGTCTAGAGTTACAGGGCTCTGTTTACATTTTTGCCTGTTTCAGAATGCAGCTGACTGCTCTTAAAGCTGGGATCAGATTCACTTCTGGTTTAACAACTGCCCTGTTTAGGAAAAAGCAAAACCGATCACTTTGCTTCCTACCTCCCCATTGATGACCAAATCAGTAAATACCATTTCCAAAGCCAGTTTATGCAGAGCTGGTCATGTGGGATCTCACTCGCCCCTTTCTGCCAGCTCTGTCCAACTCAGCCTTCAAAGCCTGCTGGGTGCCTTTATCTGATGTGTTGGTGGTGGTTGTATGGAAGAATGTGGAGGTGCTAAAGAAGTATTTGTCTGCATTCAATTATGCTTCATAGCAACCGTTGGCATAATTTATATTTTTGCCTGCACATTCTGAGAGAGCAACTCAGCAAACAACAATAATAAATTTACTTTTGGATGGTGTATTTCACTCAGAGAACTTTCATATGTATTATCTCATTCGGGGCCAACAACAATTCTTTAACCAGGGCATGTATTACTAATAATAATTAACAATAGCCAGCATTTACAAGTGTTTATGTGTCAGCTGCTATTCATTATTGCCTCCTTTTGACAGAGACCAACAAAGAGAGTTTTTGATAGAGAAAGTGACTTGCCCAAAGCTACAGACTTAATTTGAGGACAAAATAGGACTAGAATCCAGGCTTCCTTTGTGGAGTTTGCTAGACTAAACCAGGATATCCTAGATGTCTGTCTACTCCTTGGCCTGAGCAACTCAGGAAGTAGCTGCTTTTCATCTTAGAAGACCTGGCCGTTTTCATCTAGTTGCAAAAAGGGTGTACAGAAATCCAGGCCAGCACCCTTCAGGGGCTCTCGGGATTAAGTGGTGAGGTGTGCTTCTAGGGGAAAATAGGATCACTGAGGGAAGACCAAAAACAAGTGACCCAGAGACTAGGATTCTAAAAAAATATATTGGCCAGGTACAGTGGCTTGTGCCTGTAATCCCAACACTTTGGGAGGTTGAGGTGGGAGGATCACTTGAGCTTAGGACTTTTGAGACCAGACTGGGCAACATAGTGAGGCCCCATCTCTACAAAATTAAAAAAATTAACCAGGTGTGGTGGTGTGTGCTTGTATTCCCAGCTACTTGGGAGGCTGAGGCAGGAAGATTGCTGAGTCTGGGAGGTCGATGTTGCAATAAGCCGTGAGCACACTCCTGCACTCAGCCTGGGTGACAGAGTGACACCCTGTCTCTCACACACATAAATTTGTGTCTTAATGTGTTATAAGGCATGAGTCAGCTCCTGCTGTTCCTGCACCACAGAGCCAACTTCCTCCACAACACATATCAGGAGGCAAGTATAGGTTGCATGTGAGTTTTTCCCTCTGAAGAACCATGCAGTGGAGAGAGAGCAGCCCTGGGCATATGCACCAAGAGGGAATTGCTGGCCATGTACTTCGGCTGCAGTCAGACCTGCCATGGGCCCACACTGTGCTCCACAGAAGACCTGGACCTCCACTTTGGGATATGGCTGACTGGCTGCTGGGTGTTCTTTCATTTTCTCCTGCTACACTAATAGGCTCCTTTTAATCCAGAGTTACTGCTGGTGGATAGAAAGAGAGTATCAAGTGATTACAAGCTCCATCAGAGCAGGGACCTGTACTTTGTCCTCTATGCATACCCTACGCAAGCTCAGTGCCTGGCACATAGTAGATACTCAGTCCCTGTCTTCTGAATGAATGAATGAATGAATGAATCAGGGTGGTGGTGGTAGAGATAGGTCTCTGACTGGTGAACTGAGGATTTACACAGATTAGACACCCAGTGACAAAAGGAAAGAAAGCATTTCCAATACAAAGTCAGGCACAGTCATACAAAATGGAAGACTAGAGATGACAGAGCAAAAAGGAACCAAGCAAAGCCCTAAATGATGTCCATGGGCTTTAATAACATGTGTAACAAGGTACATATACCTAGATTTTTCCTGAACACTCAGAAATCTAGCATCTCTCCAGGTGAGCGTGGTTTAATAAAAGTGAGAAATGGGAGTAGGATAAACCTCACGTTAAACCTCATAGTAGGGCAGTGAGAGTTTTCAAAGTAATTTTAGGCTCTTTGGTATCATTTCTTCAGCTCAGATACCTTATTCCCATACTGTGCGCAGCTCTAGAAGTTACTCTTAGTTATAGAGACCGTCACTTCAAGCTGCAGTCAAAGTAATTGGCGTCAAGTTTGAGATTGGTCGGAAGCTAGACCAGGTGGGCCCTCAGAACATCCTATGGACATTAAAACCAATTGTCAAATATGCAGTATTCCCTTTTCTTAGTGGCTGAATTCTCAGTGATTGGGTTCTTAGCGTCATGTAGAATCTGTACCATTTATTTTCAGGCTACTTGACAAAAATGGATTACTTATTTTGTCCTCTAAACTGTAAGGGTAGGGTGAACTTCTCTAGGTCTTGCCAGACAGTGAGCCCACTAGGGTCCCACTGACAGTCTTAACCTGTATTTATTTGTTTTCAGCCTTAGCTGCTTCTGTCTTCTGTGATGCATTTCTCCTCTGTGGCTCAGATGTATTCACAAGTTAGTCTAGGTAACCACACTGGATCCTTTCATCCTTCCCCTAATCTCTGATGAAGGTGAGAGGGGTTTTGGAGCACACATAGCTTTGGACAGATGAGGTTGCTTCTTCCACTGGGTGCTCCTCTTCTGCCAGCACCACATCTGCAGAGCCGCAGGACATCCTTCCGCCCCTTCTGATGAGCCTGCACGCTGCCAAAGTTGTTTCACAACCCAGCCTTAATAATCAAAGCCATGTTGTGTTCTGTGCTTCATACAGGAGAAGCCCCCTGCCTTCTAGGCTGCTTTGTGAGAGCAACGTCAAGGCATGATGTCACCCACCCTCTCAAGGGTTCATCTATAAGCCCATGGGAGACTTGGTCGGGTTTGTAGACCCACCATGGGCCTAGGGACATTCCCTCTGATGGCGAAGGCTTTGTCGAAACTGTTCTCCAAAAAAATTATTGCTAATTCTCTCTTCCCTTAAACAAGCTAACAAGGTACATATACCTAGATTTTTCCTGAACACTCAGAACTCTCGCATCTCTCCAGGTGAGCGTGGTTTAATAAAAGTGAGAAATGGGAGTAGGATAAACCTCACGTTAAACCTCATAGTAGGGCAGTGAGAGTTTTCAAAGTAATTTTAGGCTCTTTGGTATCATTTCTTCAGCTCAGATACCTTATTCCCATACTGTGCGCAGCTCTAGAAGTTACTCTTAGTTATAGAGACCGTCACTTCAAGCTGCAGTCAAAGTAATTGGCGTCAAGTTTGAGATTGGTCGGAAGCTAGACCAGGTGGGCCCTCAGAACATCCTATGGACATTAAAACCAATTGTCAAATATGCAGTATTCCCTTTTCTTAGTGGCTGAATTCTCAGTGATTGGGTTCTTAGCGTCATGTAGAATCTGTACCATTTATTTTCAGGCTACTTGACAAAAATGGATTACTTATTTTGTCCTCTAAACTGTAAGGGTAGGGTGAACTTCTCTAGGTCTTGCCGCTGCTGGGTGTTCTTTCATTTTCTCCTGCTACACTAATAGGCTCCTTTTAATCCAGAGTTACTGCTGGTGGATAGAAAGAGAGTATCAAGTGATTACAAGCTCCATCAGAGCAGGGACCTGTACTTTGTCCTCTATGCATACCCTACGCAAGCTCAGTGCCTGGCACATAGTAGATACTCAGTCCCTGTCTTCTGAATGAATGAATGAATGAATGAATCAGGGTGGTGGTGGTAGAGATAGGTCTCTGACTGGTGAACTGAGGATTTACACAGATTAGACACCCAGTGACAAAAGGAAAGAAAGCATTTCCAATACAAAGTCAGGCACAGTCATACAAAATGGAAGACTAGAGATGACAGAGCAAAAAGGAACCAAGCAAAGCCCTAAATGATGTCCATGGGCTTTAATAACATGTGTAACAAGGTACATATACCTAGATTTTTCCTGAACACTCAGAAATCTAGCATCTCTCCAGGTGAGCGTGGTTTAATAAAAGTGAGAAATGGGAGTAGGATAAACCTCACGTTAAACCTCATAGTAGGGCAGTGAGAGTTTTCAAAGTAATTTTAGGCTCTTTGGTATCATTTCTTCAGCTCAGATACCTTATTCCCATACTGTGCGCAGCTCTAGAAGTTACTCTTAGTTATAGAGACCGTCACTTCAAGCTGCAGTCAAAGTAATTGGCGTCAAGTTTGAGATTGGTCGGAAGCTAGACCAGGTGGGCCCTCAGAACATCCTATGGACATTAAAACCAATTGTCAAATATGCAGTATTCCCTTTTCTTAGTGGCTGAATTCTCAGTGATTGGGTTCTTAGCGTCATGTAGAATCTGTACCATTTATTTTCAGGCTACTTGACAAAAATGGATTACTTATTTTGTCCTCTAAACTGTAAGGGTAGGGTGAACTTCTCTAGGTCTTGCCAGACAGTGAGCCCACTAGGGTCCCACTGACAGTCTTAACCTGTATTTATTTGTTTTCAGCCTTAGCTGCTTCTGTCTTCTGTGATGCATTTCTCCTCTGTGGCTCAGATGTATTCACAAGTTAGTCTAGGTAACCACACTGGATCCTTTCATCCTTCCCCTAATCTCTGATGAAGGTGAGAGGGGTTTTGGAGCACACATAGCTTTGGACAGATGAGGTTGCTTCTTCCACTGGGTGCTCCTCTTCTGCCAGCACCACATCTGCAGAGCCGCAGGACATCCTTCCGCCCCTTCTGATGAGCCTGCACGCTGCCAAAGTTGTTTCACAACCCAGCCTTAATAATCAAAGCCATGTTGTGTTCTGTGCTTCATACAGGAGAAGCCCCCTGCCTTCTAGGCTGCTTTGTGAGAGCAACGTCAAGGCATGATGTCACCCACCCTCTCAAGGGTTCATCTATAAGCCCATGGGAGACTTGGTCGGGTTTGTAGACCCACCATGGGCCTAGGGACATTCCCTCTGATGGCGAAGGCTTTGTCGAAACTGTTCTCCGAAAAAATTATTGCTAATTCTCTCTTCCCTTAAACAAGCAGTTCCTTAGGCTACAAAACTTCTGGCAGGGCTTCCCCAGCAGGAAGACATGTGCTCACCACATCGGGCATAGCTCAAACATCTACAACTCTGTTCTACCCGCAGAAGGAGGGAGGCAGTGGTACAGAGCTCCGCAGGCTTTGGCCTTAGAAACGCTGTTCCCAACAAGCTTGGGTCTCACTTTGATCATTTAGAACTTATTTACCTTGTTACACATGTTATGTGTTACATGTGTAACATTTACACTTGTTATGTGTTACATGTGTAACATTTACACTTGTTATTTACCTGGTTATACATGTTATGCAGTCTCTCTGAACCACAATTTCATCTGTCAAATGCATATATAAGTAATGATAATAACTACTATTTATTGAGCATCATTCACATACAGGTTCCAGTTGTAAAATTGTTTTTAAGCCTCAAAGCAACCCTATAAAGGAGATAATATTGCCCTCATTTGGCAGATGAGAAAATTAAAGGTTAGAGAAATTAAATAATTGACCCAAGGACACTTATTTTGCAATGAACTGTAAATCAGTCCCAAATCTGTTTGGCTCCAAACCCTTTATGTTCTTCACTACTTCTGTATATTTTTCATGGGATTAAAATAAGATCATGTATGTTAAGTTCTTGGCACTCAGTAAATGCTCAATTAATATTTTTTTCCCCCGAAAGGTAACACTTGTTAGTTTTGTAATGGCTATTGTTTTCTGGTTTTGTTTTGTTTGTTTAGTTTCTATGGTGGCATTACCATGGTAGAAGAGAAGAAGCAAAAAGAGTAGAAATGAGATAAATAGTAAACTTAGTCTAGGAAAATGCTTACCCTTGTTTATGTGTTGGTGGGGGCAGGGGAATAAAGAAAGAGAGAAAATGTTTTAAAGTGGATATTGCACAGTTTCTTTGCATGGCAGGTTGCTTATGATCTGGATAAGTAGAAACAACTTAGGAAAGGAACCCCATATTCAACTGCATTTGTTCAAAAGGCATGGAAGAGTGGATAGATGTCTGTTAAATGAAGACATATGGGCATTTTGAAGGTCACTTACATGGAGGATCATTTTCAGTGTATGAGTAATGTTGGCAGTGTGTTTCCACCCAGGAAGAATAAAGGTAATCTTGGATGGTGACTATAAATTACATGTGGACTGTTCCATGAGGGCTGCTCCAACACCAAGTGAGTGTCAAACTTTGAAGTCTCTGGGTTAGCAACATGTATATGCATTCTGCAAAGAGCTGCAAAGGTGAGCTACAAATCTGCATTAATTCAGGAGAGGATATGGGAAGACTATTTTGCTCAAATATAGAAGATCAGCTTGGTTAAAGTGTAAATACAGTTACTATCACTAATAATGTCTAAGTATAAAATTTGTAGCAAGAAAAGAAATAAAAAGACAATGAGAAGTACCTGGTATAGGAGGGCATACTAGAGGAAGTGGTTAAGACCTAGCTTAATTAATAGTCTTCCTAGGATAAAATTTCCCAAGACAGCATCTGAAGGTGCCAGTGATATTTAATGATTAATTTAGATATTTTCAGGCCCAATGTCTTGGTGTGGTGGGTTTACAGGATGGATCACATTAAATAAAAAATGGTGCTAAAATTTCATATGAATCAACAGTAAGTCAACATTGAAGACTAAAACCAATGCTATATTTGTAAAGGGAAGAAAAAGAGCAGAGTCAACATACTGATTTTTCATTATTTCCTAAACTTGGTTATGCACTTCTTTTATACATTATGTACAAAATGATTGCATATAGAACTACGTGCCGCTGATGGCTGCCTGGTTTAATAAACTGTGATTATTGTTTTTCTCTCTACATTTCAAGCTACCATATGTACTGAATTTCTGGGATATATCAGTCTCAAAGCTAAACCTAATAGGATATACTGACTTTCCATGCCACACAAGGCTTCGTGAGCCATGGGAAGTAGCTTTGGAGTATCACGGTTCTAGAAAGAGGATCGTCAAAGACAGACACTCAGGGAAAAAAAAAGTGTTTTATTGTCTTAATGATTTAAAAGTCCAAGTCTTAAATCACTACCCATAATTGAGGCCTCTTATTATTTTGAGTCAGTCATCAATAGAAAAAAAACCTTTCTTGCTTTGATCTTTGAAGAATAAAATAAAAGATGCTAGACTAAAACCTAATCAGAAATTACTGATGGCAAAACTAACTAGTTGGAATAGGCTGTTGGCAGAAGTCGCTCCCTCCCACTTTTCTTCTTTTCCTTTGGTGTTATGATTTAAGGGGAAAAATTATGGAAGACAAGTTTGTTTTAAAAATTCATAGGGTTCACTTGTGGGTTTTGCATTTAAATATATATTTTAAATAATATTTAGGAAGCATTTGAGAATGAGGATTTTAGGCTATGCTGATGCTACTGCTTCTGTTACTAAACATTACTTAATGCTTCCTGGTTTTCAGAAGATATAGCCAAGACTAGTTCCTTTTCTTATCCACATTCAGCCCTTTCCCTTAGAAAGATAAGTTCTGAAAGAAGTACTTACCTGTTGGGCAGTAGAATAAGTAGAAAAATGGAAAACCCAAATGTGTGTCTGCGATGCTGGGTCTGACCTTTATGCTTTTAAATAATTCTTACCGGAGGCGAATTCTGTGTGGTTGCCGGCTTGCACAGCAGCTTCAGAGGCAGGTCCATGAAAGACGAGCGAATTTTGAGGGTATTGAGTGCCTTGCTACATTCACACTGTATGTGCCGTTCAGCATTACTATTAAAGGGAAAATCAGAAGATGTTGGTTTTTAAGGAGGGTATTGGTATTTAAGGTTATTTGCTGTAGGAATTACCTTCTATAGAGTTCGAACTCTGCTCTGAAAAGTCTGAGAGAAATAGAAGAAACAGTTCATAGGAAATTTTGAAGTTTGGCTAGCCTGTAAACCACAGGCTTAACAGTGCTCTAAAGTCAGTTCTGAGACTTTTTCTGAGACTCTGTAACTCTTGATGTATAATTATGAATGCATTTTTGCTTTGTTGATTGTTGCAATAAACAGAATCAGTGGATTATTGGTTAAGTAGAATAAAAATATGCCAGAGAAAATCCATTCTCTTTGTCTCACTCTGAAAATATTGCATCAAATAATCTGAACGAGACCAAAAAAGCTTTTTATCTGAGTTTCTATACGTAAGAGTAGAAAAAACAATTGAAGGGAAATAGTTAAATGTAGAAAATCATCAAAAATAGAAATCGTGCAAAAAGTAGACATCTCGATTCTTAAAAATTATGTTTCCCAAGCTGTGCAAACTTTCCTCAGTTAACCACATACTCACATGGATGAAGATTTCACAATTCCAGTAAAAGCATTCTTACATTCACCTTGAATGGTTTTGTCCCTTGAAGAATTAGCATCAGTCATTGGAAAGCAATGGTATGTTTTTCTTCTTACACTTAGCAGGAAGCATTTTAGAAGCCATATCCTCACCAAGAATGTACAGATGGACCATTGCATTATAAAAACATACAAATATAGTTAGAAAACAAAAACAGAGATAATGCACCACAAGTATACAGCGATTTTCTCTTACGAATGTTCTTTTTTTCTTTCTCTCATTCTACTTTTCCTGGGATTTAGTACGTTCTTACAGTGGGTAAGTTTTATTTTTACAGTCAGGAAGAAAGGCCACATTCTGTAGCCGTAAAACGTGTGTCTGTGAGTAATTGGAAATTAACCCTGTCCTTCAAACTTGATGCCGTCATCACGTATATGATCCATGTGTGTGTGTGGGTTGGCACATATGTACATATTTCACAGATTACCCCATTCAAAGATGGGAAGGTGGAAGGGTCTGTCCTCAATAAGTACTGTGGTTTGCCTGGCTGACATGCAGGGAAACCCCCAAAGCACCAGAACCATGCATTTATTCAGCCGAAAAAATGTGTTTTCTTTTTTAAATCAGAGTCTCCTAAGATAGTAGAACCTAGATGGCTCTCCAGTGCTGGGCTGAATGATAAAACCCAGACCTTTTTGGTGCTGTGTTTTGATCCATCCCTGAATGTGACACCCTAATACTTGGGTTCCTGGGTCTGGTTTTACAGGATGTGACTTCAGTCAAGGAAAGCCTGGTGCCTACCTTTGCTTATTTGTATTCTAGTGCTGTAAGCTCCCCTCCTCTCGTGTGTCTTTGTTCTATTAATCTGCAAAACAGGGCTCGACTTGTGATTAGTCCTTGGAGCTTGTTTCTATTAATCAGTCTGCAAAACAGGTCGACTTGGATGCTTTTGTTCAAGAGCTTAATGCGTTCTCCTTGTCAGGCTGTGGTTCAGGCCGCTCGGTTTGCTTTAAACGGGACCAGGTGGTGAAATTTGGTTTTTATACGCTGATTGCACTGTCAAGAAAGAAAATACTGTTTGAAAAGACAATAGGAAAATGCTAATGTGGAATCGTAGAGCGATGTTTTAGGAGGAGGAAAAGTTTATAGAAAATATAACTTGTGTAACCTGGCTGTGGTGTATAATAAACTGCACGGTGCAGTTGACTGGAACAGAAAATAAGGCATTATTTATATTATAGTCTAGAAGCATGGTGTCAAGGAAAGGTCGCCTATTAATAAAATTTTATGTGGATTTGAATTGTAATTCTTTTGATTCTTAAAGTGGGAATATCATCCTTTTAGCTACAGTATTAGCTACTGTAAGAAGATCCAATATAATTTTGTGCGTTTCCTCACTTTTTTCTTTCCACCCTCCCTTATGCCAAACGACCTTGCCGCAGATTAAAATTATTCTACCTGTTATGTAGGGAAAACTCTGTATCTCAATTTTCTTATCTTCATTAACAAGGGACAAAAACTGACCTACCTGTGGAGATAGAGTGTGGGCTGAGTGATGGTTATAAATTGCTTTGTAAAATGCTCATTATCACCATTTAAAAAATTCTTCTAACTCTAATGTGCAAAGGATAGCCTCACTGGAAAAGAATTTTAATGCATAACTTTTTTCTAGTGATAGGGACACTCTAGGAAGAACACAGTTTTTTATTGGAAGTTGTCTTTTACATCTCTAAAAATTTCAAGTAAATTTAGCATTCATTACTTGTGAAATAGCTGCCCCCTCCAAAAAATCTGTTGAAGTATATGCAAGGAGCAAACTTTCAGAACTCCAAATTAAATTTGTCATCAGTGATAAATTTAGTCCTGTGAGATAGTTTAATAAGTGCTTCAGCTTGATTTATTGGCTTTGTTAGTTAACAAGAGTGTATTATGTCTTGTACAGAACTTAGCAGAGCAATTTCTGACTAGACCTTCCTTGATTAAAATAAAAAACTGAAAGTCTCATTTTAGTCACGGCGATGGTAATTATTTTAACATGAAATTGGAAGGTAAGCACACTGCAGTCCTGTCATTAATATTTAAAAAAAAAAAAGACAAGAAAGCAAGAAAGAAAAGAAAATGTCAGAATGTGAAGGGAAAGGCATTTAAAAGGTTTTAGTTCTTTATGTTTGTACGTACTTTACTTCTTTTGTGTGTATGCAGAGCGTCTAGGCTGTTTTACTGGTTGGGGCCGAAGATGCAGCCCTTGCATATATAATCACTAATGAGTGTCAGGATTCAGCTGCTAATTTGAAAGGCTTTGTGGCTCTTTCACCCCAAACACTAGAAGCTTCATTAGGCGCTGTTTTGTCCAGCCTGACCTTTGCTGATCTCTAGATCACAGCTAAATACCAACATTACACCAACACCCTCCCAGTTGAAACAGTCCAGACATGATTCCTTTGGTGCATATCTTATCAGAATCTGCTACTGACATAAACTTGGGTGTCCTTGTAGCTTGCCACATAATTAGGATTACCTTCCCCCAAAGAAGCCCTATTTACTTACAATTGTGTTCAGCTGATTGGAGATTTGAATTTGAGAGCAATTAGCAAATTTCTCAGTCTCTCTCTTTTTTTTTCCTAAAAAAGGCACTTTTAGAAGGCATAGCTTTTAAAATATGTTTTTATGGCTGTTTCAGTGTAAGCAACAGACAGTCACTAATAAGGTATTTCTCTCTTTGACTTGGGAAAAATACATAAAATTTATTATTAATGATACCAGATTTTAAAAATGGAAAGAAAATCAAACGGTATTGTTTTTCTTTAGAAGTACGTCTTTCGGAGTACACTATCCTCAAAATCAAACCTCATAGCAAGCAGGTGGAAGAGACTTTTCTGCTTACACTATTTTAAACATCCTGAGCAATGAAACAACAAGCATGATTTGTGAAGCTTTCAGTTGTTGGGGAGGGAAGCCTTACTTTTCAGCGTTATTGTTTATAGATTCTCCCCCACTCTTCTCAATTGCCAGAGAAATTATCCTGCTTTAGTTTAAAATTGTACTCTCTATTTGATATGAAGCAGTAGCTAAGTGGAGATATCTTTTGGCATTATATGTAATTATCAACCAGAAAAATGCATCTTTATAAACTTATTTTTCAACAGATCCAGTCATCTACGTCAGTTCTCCAGTGATCTTATTTTGAAGCGGTTTGAATTCTCTTTCCTTTTTAGAGTCATAAAATTAGAGATGGGAAAGAGCTCTCTGATTGCATCACTTTTTCCACCCTTTTGGCCAGTGTGATCTCCCTCCCTCCGGCATATTCCCTGGTGTTCCATTCAGCCTAGTTTAGGATAATAAGACCAGGGAGGCTTCTTGTCCAGGCCCCTCTGGGAAAATGTCCCACGGCCCTTGACATGTGGATAAGCTTTTAGGCATGCAGGCTGAAGTTTTCTCCTGCTTTGAGACTGCTTCAATATTCTTGAGTTCAATCTCTTTTCTTGTTGTTCCTTTCATCTAAAGCATCAAGAACTTTTTTCTCTGTCAACCAGCCTGCTCATATTGTGAACAACAATAAAAATCCCACAACACTACACACAGGCATGGTTTTCCTCCGTCTTCTTCCGTTCAAAACGACAACGTTATTTAAGGTGTTTTGTTGTTATTAACCACGTGTTTTAAGACATGCCTAAATTTGAGTGGTCCATAAATTTTACCTATAAATGAATCTCATAAATCCTTAGCCATTTCATAGACCCTGTGACTACAGCGTCTCAGAATCTTGTCGGTTTAGAGCCTTTTCAGGAGTCCAGGAACAAGATGGGGATTCTGACAGCATTTGTTTTTAGATGGATAGAAGTAAATTAATCAAAATCCTTTGTTTATGATGCATTGCCATTATTGGTCTATGCCTAGCCTTTATTATCATTAGTTTTTTTTTTTCCGTTTATGAGTAATGTAGTGAACATCCATTAACCTACAGAGAGTCTGAGAACTAGAACATTGACAATAATTTGTGTTTATCTATGTGCTTTCCTGTCTCTTATCTCCTGCCTTCTTTCTCCAGGTATACATTAATCTGAATTTTGTTTTTTTCATTCCTTTGCTTATTTAGATGCTTCTTATAATACACATGTCTAAACAATATATAGTTATTGATTTTGAACTTTATACAAAAGATACTATGGGTTTCTACTTTAGTTATGGAGGAATAAGGTCCTAACAGATTAAGCCTCCCGCAAATAACTATAAATAACAAATAGAATAACTACCCAAGGGCTTTGGAGAGTGCACAGAAGCAAGTAGGCTTTTGGAGGGGAGTTGAAACTTAGAGGAAGCAACTCCAATAAAGTTTTTCATTTCTGTGGGTTTACCTGGAGGGTAGCCACAGTTGAGTATAACAGTGTCATGATATGGCTAAAATTCTGACAGACAGCCTGTACTCTTTTTGGCAGGGGAATCCATTTGAAAAAGCTCAGAGTAACCAGAGCCACCAGAGAGTGAGGGAGAATCCTAGGGGAAAAAAAGAGAGAGACAAATAAGAGAAACACCAAATTCTTTGTGTAAATTCTACAAAGTCTCTGGCCCCTGAGCCATGCACGTAGGGGCAGATTGAAAGTGTCTGAACTGAGATCCGAGCTACTGCCCACCATAGATATCAACATTTAAACATTCAAAGAAGTAGTAATGAAATCTTACAGAAAATCTTTCTGAAATTTGAAGATGAAATGCTTCCCAACCCGTTTTATGGCCAGCATGACATTAATACCAAAACTAACAAAAATATATTACCAAAAAAATTATAGAATAACATGCCTCATGAGCAGAAACTAAAATACTTTCCAGAAGATTAGCAAATCAAATCCAACAACATGTAGAAAGGTTAATAGATTATGATCATTGTGGGTTTATACCAGGAATACAAGATGGGTGTAAAAAAAATCTATCTAATTCACCCTATTAACAGGATAAAAGAGAAAAACTATGTTACCGTTTTAATAGATGCAGAAAAAGCATCCAAAAAGACTCAATATTATTCATAATAAAAACTTTCAGCAACCAGGAGTAGAAAGCTTCATCAATTTGATAAAAGACTACGGTCCTACAGTTAACATCACAACTGATGGTAAATATTGAATGCTTTCACACTAAGATAGTAACAATATAAGGATTCTTGGATTGACACTCCTGTTTACCATTGTTGTGAAGGTCCTCCACAGTGTAATAAACACACAAAAAAGAAATAAAAGGAGTGAAGATTGGAGACAAAGAAGTAAAATTGTCCATTTTTGCAGATGACAGGGTTGTCAATGTAGAAAATTCTAAGGAATTTACAAAACAGCTGCTAGAAGTAGTAAGTGAATAAGAATGAGGTTATGGGATACAGGATTAGTACACAAAAATGAATTGTATGTTTTTATAATTGCAGCATAAAATTTAAAATGAATTTTTTAAAATGTTAATTACAGTAGTACCAAAACCTTAAAATATTTAGGAGCAAATATAACAAAATATATGTAGAATCTCTTCACTGAAAAACCAAACAACATTGCTGAAAAAATTACAGAAGACCTAAATAAATGAAGATATATTATGTTTGCTAACTGCCCATTTCTCCCTAACTTGATCTGTAGATTCAGCTCAATCTACTGATTGGGTAAAAATCTCAGCAGGCTTCTGGGTTTTGGAAATAAACAAGCTGATTGTAATATTTTTTGAAAATAAAAAAGATTTAGAATAGTTAAAATGAGTTTAAAAAAATAAAAGTTGATAGACTGTATTATCTGATTTCAGGCTTACTATGAAGCTTTTATTATTCAAAACAAAGTAATAGGTGGACACATAGATCAATGGTGGACACATAGATCAATGTCAAAGAAAAGTAAGTCCAGAAACAGACCCATACATATACAGCCAAATGAATTTGGCACAGTTTCAAGGCCATTTAATGAGGAAACAGTAGTCTTCGATAAATGTTACCTGGACGGGTAAATATCAGTATGGAAAACCATGACCCTTACTTCATGCCATGTACAAAAATAATTTCAAAATAGATCTTACACTTAAAATTTATTTAAAAAATGAAACCTATAAAACTTCTAGAAGAAAGCTTAATCATTGCAACCTTGGAATGGGCAAAATTTCTTAGATTGGGACACAAAAAACATAAACAACATAAACCATTGATGAAAATAATGAAAAATAGGAGTTTTACCAAAATTTTAAAATTTTCAGTCTTTGAAAGACATCATTACAAAAATCAAAATGCAGTCCACAGTCTTGGGGAACATAGTCTAGGGGAACATATTTTCAACCTGTAAATCTGGATATTACATAAATCTGTATCCAGAATACATAAAGGAGTCTTACAACCCACTAATAAAAAGACAAAAACACCCCAATAAAAATGGTCAAAAGTTTGAATTGACTCTTCATAAAGGGATATATGCAAATGGCCAATAAGTATATGAAAAGATATTAAAAAATCATTAGTCATGGCTGAAATGCAAATTAAAACCATAGCAAGATACCACTGCACACACAATATAATGGCTAAAATTTAAGAAGCTAACAATACCAAGAATGACAAATATATGGATCCACAAATAGAGGCAGATATGAATGTAAAATGGAACACCCTCTTTGGAAAAGTTTTTGGCAGTTTCTTAAAAAGTCAACCCATATCTACCGTACAACCTAGCCATTCTGCTCCTAGATATTTACTCAAGACAAATAAAAATATATGTCCACATAAAGACTTGTACACAAATATTCTTAATAGCTTTATTCACAATAACCAACACCAGGAAACAACCTGTACATTGGAATACTACTCAGCAAATAAAAGGGATGAACTATACTAAAACATGGGATAACATGAATGATTTTGAAGATCATTATAGTGAATGAAAGACACCAGACACAAAAGAGTACGTTTACTCTGATTCCATTTGTATACAATTTTAGAGAACACAAACTAATTTAAAGTGACAGAAAGATCAATGATTGTTTGGACTGGGGACAGACGGAAGGACACAGACTGCAAAGGGTATGAGGAATATACTGGGGGTGATAAAAATGATTGGTATATTAATTATGGCCTTGTGTCTTCATTATAGTACGTATATATCTGCAACATTT